GTGTACATGCCACACACATCCTCAACTTTACTAGATTTTACCCACTTTACTTGTAAGGTAGTTATGTTAGTTTATAATCCCACCAGCAGTGGCAAGAGCTTTACTTGTCCCACATGCTTGCCAACTCCTGAATTGTCACTTCTTAAAAATTACTGGCTAACTAATGGAGAGAACATAAAATCTGATTGCTGTTTAATTTCCATTTCTCTGATACTAGGGAGACTGAGAATCAATTTCACATGTTTGTGAGCCTCTGAAGGTTCTCTGAGAATTTCTGGTTCACATCATTCACCCACTTTTCTCCAGTTGTTTTTATATATTCCAGATTGAATCTTTTTTTTCATTATATGCTTTACTCATGTCCACTCCCTGGAATGTCTTTTCAGTTTGATTCTGATACTTCTATTCTGATACTTCTATTTTCATTTTGATGAAAATAGATTCATCAAAATATTTCTTTTTGCTTATGCTTTTTGTGTCTTACTTTTTTAACTTTTTCTACTTCAAAATTACTCCACCAGAAGTATTTCAATTTATACCAAAAGTATTACTGTTTTGCTTTTCACATGAAGGTCTTTAATTCACCTGTAGTTTGTTTTTATGACTTGGATGAGGCAAACATCTAATTTTTTCCAATTAAATTACTAATTCTCCCCAGCATTATGTATTGACTCATCTATCATCACCCTTTTTGTTAATCCTCCTCCACCAAGTATTATCTGATCTGTTCCTGAACATACTCTTCTGCTGATTAGGTCATTTTTCTAGTTCAGAACAAATATCATCTTAATTAGTTCAGCTTTGTAACAATATTTGGTAGGGAAATTCCCCAGCTATTTCTGTTATCCATCTTCAAAACTGTCTAGTCTCTTCTTAATCCTTTGTTTTTCCATACAAACTTTAAGGACAGCTGGTCACATTCCATGAAAAATCTGCAGGAATTTTAATTGAAATTAATGGCTAAATTTGGAGAAAAGTGACATCTCTACAATATTAAACCTTTCTGTCTATGTATTTATAAATCTTTCCTTTTAATCAAGTCTTTATTTATGTAAATTAATTTCTTCAACTTCCTAATAAGCTTTTCCTTTTCTTCCTGGATAGCAAAATATAAATAATTTTTAGAAATGGCAACATGCCCAATTTCAACTGAGGAGCAGACAGTAGGCATTCAATAAATGGCAGCTACTCTCTATCATCACCCCATGTTCCACCATTTAGTATTGAAAGCAAAATTATGTTCTATGCAGGGATCAGCAAATTATGGAAGACAGGCCAGAACTATCCTACTCTTATTTTTGTAAAGACACTTTTAATGGAACACAGATATGCCCATTTATTTACATACTGTCTGTATCTACTTTCACACTACAGCAGGAAGGTTGACTAGTTGCAAGAAAGCCTCTGTGCCTCCAGAGGCTTTAGTCTTTCAGCCGAAGAAGTTTGCCAATTCCTGGCCTTGACATCATTATTTGCCAGATATTACCTTGGATGGATCTACCCTCTTTTCCAGGGAATCCAGGGTAATTCCTTTGGGGGTGATCTTGTAATTATAGGGTAACTATTAGGAGAATTGGGAGAAGGGCTAGCAATAAGCCGAGGGTAGCAGACAGAGTCAGCCACAGAACATGCAGGGCTAAATACAAAAATAAAAATGCAAGGTCCCTTGTTCAAAATGCAAGGAAAAAAAAATACTGCTAAATATATAAAATAACTCACTTAACTTGCTAGGATTTTTTTTAAGTGTTCTCAGTAAAGAAAATTTAAAACCTGAAGTTATTAGCATGAACTTTGTCATTTTCTTTATATTGTGAAATGCCTATTTTAAATGCTACTATAAGAACAGTTGACTCACAGGCAGAAATACCAAAATTTCACAGTTTGTATTTCAGAACTGGTACATGCATATGTATTTCATTCTCATGAGCAGAGTGGATGCACTGTTCAAGACGAACTCAATAGTCTTTATAGTTATCTTCATTGCATACACTCTCCCACCACGCTCTACCTTGGGTTAACAAGTAAGGAAGAAGCAAAAGGAAAAGATACAACAGATCATCCTATCTTTCCCTTTCTTTCTATGTTATCATTTTCAGCATAAATGAAATAGCTAGTATAGAGAAGGGACAGAAGAAAAGATACGATAGGGTTTCTTGGTTGTTCATATTTCTTAGCATACCATTGCCAGCTTTCTGTAATTGAAAAAGTTCTGGTTGAAATGGAAATGTAGCCTTTTGGGACTGCCATCTCTCCAGCTATTCAGTGTAAATGTAACATGCCTAACTAGTACTCACTAATGTCACTGAACTCCTGTGCATAGTGGTCTGCTGGCATTCTGTGCTCATGAGATATCACAAAAACTACATACAAATGGTAGTGACAGACAAAATTATCAAGACTTTCGAAACAGCAACAGCAGAGCACATAAACCAAGCAAGGAGTTTCTCTGAGCTATTGAACCCTGAGTCACTTTACAGCTCACACTCCCGCAAATCCAGTCTTGATGGCAGAACAAAAATTAAAAGTTCAGAGTCTGGATCGTTGTCGACATTTTTGAGCTGCCAACAAACTTCAAACCTTTTCTTAACTAATAATAAATGTCCTGATGATTTAATTCTGATTTTGTTTTACTAACAGCTAAAACTACTCCATGTGTTCTCATAGATGTGTACCTAGGCACATGAGAATTTTTATTACTATTGTAAAATAAAATTTTTTTAATTATATTTCCCAGTTTTTGTTGTTATGGTATTTTAATACAATTCATTTTTATATACTGGCATTTTGTTTAGAATCTTTGCCATATTCTCTTAATAGTTCTAATAAGATTCTCTTGGATTTTCATCATAAATATATAAATATTGAAAGTGTTGTTTTGCTTTTTCAAGCTTTATATCTTTTGTTTGTATGTTTGTTTTACTACAACTAGCTTTTACCATCAGAACAGTGATGAACAAGATAGGTTCTTGCTCAAAGGGAAATCATATGGTCATCATTAGGTATCCTCTTACCGTAGAATTTGATGAATTGATTTTATCAAGTGAAAGAACTTTACTGCTGTTTCTGCATTACTGAGAGTTTTTATAATGAAATGAAGAAGAGGCTGATCAAATTTTTTTTGCACCCATTGAAACAAATGCTTTGTTATTTAATATTTAATGTAGAGAATAATACCAATTATTTAATTTTAAAACTTCTTTATATTCCTGAGCTAAAGTTGATCATCAAGCACTATGTTAAGCACATATATTTATATACCTCACCATACACAAATATCATATATTATACATATATTAATCTAAAGTGAACATCTATTTCATAAATATTATTATTCATTTATAACTTCCTATTCTTGCACTGTTCTTGCCTGGTTTTACTATCAAGGTTACCCTTAGAAAAGGAAAAGGACATGGGAAGGATTCCCTCTTTGCTGATTCTCATTATTTATTTGGCAATATATGTTTGACGTATATTTATTTAGAGCATGCTGTAAAATACAGGAAATATCTGTACCTTAAAGTTTGGGGAGAATGTTTCTATGAATAACATAGATCTTTTTGATATTTTTATTTATGTGGTTTGTTGTTATATTTTTAACTGCTAATATATCTTTACTGGTTTATATCCTCTTGCCTAAATATTAATAGGTAATATTTTTCCTAGAAACTTACCATTTTATTTAACTTTTTAAATGTGTGATAAAGTTCTTCATAACTCCAGTGTAATAATTATTATATTTCATATATTCACAAGTTTATAAATTCATATTCCCACCAGATTACACATTCCATCAGGTCAGGCATTTGAGCTGTTCTTCCACATACATCGGGTATTTAGTACAAGATAAATGCTTGCATACTAGTTGTTGAGTGAGCAAAAGAATAAATGAATGTAGGGCCTCCCCGGTGGCGCAGTGGTTGAGCGCTGGGTTGCGAAGCTGCCCGCGGCCTCTGCGGCGCCAGTTCGATCCCCGGCTGCTCCCCGGCCACCAGAGGAGGGTCCCACATGGCGCGCAGACCTCTCCTGCCGCCCGCTGCTCCCCTCAGCAGTGTACCTTGGTCCTTCTGCCTGCTCTGCTCCCCGCTCTGGCTCTGGTGAATTCTCTCACCCTCCCGCGCTTCTGACTGTACCCAGTGCATGTATAAACAAAACAAACAAATAAATAAATAAATAAAACATGCCTCTATAAAAAAAAAAATTAAAAAAAAAAAGAATAAATGAATGTCTAGTTTTAAAAACTGTGGGTATCCTTTCTTATCTAATTTTATTTTGTTTTGGCATACCTATTTATTATAGTTTATTTTAATAAAATAATTAAAACATTTAATTTTAGGAACAGACAGGAAGATTTTGGTGCATATGAAAGATAATTTAAACTCATTTTAAACAACCACTTATTTATGTAATTTAAAAATTTTTTTAATAACAACTCGAAGCCCAAACCAAATTTCACAGCAATATATTCAGAAAGTTTTCTTTCTTTCATGAAAATTGAAACTTTCTAACCAAGTAACAGTTGCTAAGGGATTTGAAATGGAGATTAGCATAGATTTGGATAGCACAAATGATCCTTTGTGCATGGTAAACAGTCTACTTTTCATTTAAAAATTAATATCCGTGTCTGTGATGCTCACTAAGACTGGTTTGAAAATAAGCTAAATATAATCCTCTTCTCTTTAATTTCCATGAGGCCAACACCACTTGATCTGATTATGTAGTTTCAAAAATTCAAGTTTACTGTATATGTGCCTAGGCCCTCTGTGTCCTCATGCTGAGAGTGTTAAGCAATAATTAAACTTATATCTCTTTAAGAAGGCTCTGAGAATTTACTCAGAAGCAGGAAGTCCAAAGAATCTTAATGCAGAAACACTTTAATTTTGTTGCCTCAGAATTTTGGAAATTATTCAGATTTTTTAAAAACAGGCCTATTATTTTGTTTTATGGAGTCCCACATGTCCCACCAATTTCCTTCATTTTAGACCCTTACCAATTTTTCACAGGGAAGCATCTACACTTATCCTCACTGACTACAAACCTACTGAACCAAGCCCGACCAAGGTGCTACTGTAGGAAGTTCTACCTGACTGCTTCCACTCCGGGTCTTTCAAACAAAGAAAGCAGCTTCTAGACAAGGTCATCTGTAGGGCACAGTCCATGACTTCCACCTGGGATCACAGTTCTAGAATTCAGTGAGTACCTCTGACTAATCTGGAGTTCTCAGGATTTCCAAATCATCATAAATCTCCAAATAAACATCTCAATTTTACCAATAAATGTTCTTTTTTAAAATACTCTGCAATGTCTGTCTTCCTATAACCACAAAGGACAATTATGTGAGTCACAAAACTTTACAGTGCCAACCAACAGATAATAAAGTGACTCCAAGATGGAAAATGAGAACTGAGAACCCACAGGGGGGAAAAAACAGTAGATAAAATGTCTTATTAATCAGACAGTAACTAATATTTCACTTGAATGTATATGCCTATGAGAGGAGTAATCTTAAATTTTAATATACTAGATTCTTGTAAAGTTCATGGTTAATAAATTCAGCAGTATTTGTAGAGTTCTGTCATATAGTCCACATATAGTTGTAGTTGTCATGGGTAAAAATTCATGCCTTTGGGAGTTTATAATCCATTTCAAGTGATAGCTCCTATAATCATTAAAAATAAGTTTTAATTTGAATTCAATCATTTATCTTTCTATGAGAAAAATGATTTTGCAAATATGATTCCAGATTTCTAGGCTTCTAGAAGAAGGAAAAGATAGGAGGAAAAATGTTACATCCTGCTAAAGTGAACTGTAAGCAACAGAAATACAACTAAACATAGTGACACTGAAGAGCAAGTGGAAGCGGGGGAGACCTTTGTATTAACACAATGTAAGGTAAGGATTAGCCTACTGATTCTCAAACTTGACTACATTTTGGCAGCTATGGCTACATAATTTGTGGGGTCCAGGGCAGAATAAAAGGTAGGACCCTCATTCAAACAGAGTTGAAAAGGCACTAAAGCAGAGTGTTATTTTCCTTCCACACGCTCTGTCTTGACAAAAAGTGGTGTTTTATTTGCTATTTAATAATGTCATAAGTAAAAAATAAAATTTCAAATTATTAGCATGCATTTCATGATTTCCTTTATATTGTTCCTTGCTAATTTTAAAATAAAAATATAAAAACATTTAGCTGATAGGCAGAATCACCAAAATTGTACAATTTGTGTTTCATAGCTCATACATACATGTGTATTTTGTGAAAATGTGTATAAACCTAAGACAATAGTTTAGGTTGTATTTATTTCATTTTTTGATTCACTCTTTTATTTAATTTATTCATTTTCTTACATCATTGTTCATTTTTGTACAGTATTTGTTTTCTCCCCTCAGGTGTAGCCCCCGTAGTTCTTCCACCACCACAGCACCCATGATCCATCACCATAGTCCCTTGTGCTCTTCCCTCTCTTTTGACCTCTCAGCCTCATGATTCACTCTTTGATACACTATCTTTGACATACTGATGTGTAAGGAAGGCCTAAATGTAGATGTTTCATCTTTCCCTTTTCTACCATGTAAGAGAAAGTCTCAGCATTAATGAAATAGGTAATAAAAGTCATGTAACTAAGACAGGATATGATAGGTTTGTTCGTCTTCGAAAGCATGGTAAGCTTTTTTTTTAAAGGATTTATTTATGCATGCATGCAAGAACTAGGATACAGGCCAGAAGTGTGGGAGGATGAGAGGATTCACCAGATTCATAGTGCTGTACTTAACCCCTTGCATTGTAAACTCTTACAATCTTGCAAGCTCTTAAAAAGCATTGTCTTCTTTCTATGTTTGAGGCAAGTTCTGGTTTAAATAACCAGTGTCACTTCTCTGGGCCTCTATCTGGCCCAATTACTCAGTTGTAGCTGTAACATGCTTAACTTGTACTCTCTTGAATTTCACTGAACTCTTAATGTGCCATGGACCCATCACAATTCAGTGTTCAAGGGCATCTCAGAGGCTGCACATGAATGATATTGTTGGGGCACAAGAGAAATTCCCCCTCCCTCTGTGTTCTTCTGAAGCTGGGCAAGTTATCAAAACAATCATTAGATAGATGAGCAAAGGGAAAAAAATCAATTTAATAATGTACACACTTGGGAAGGAGGAGCTACAATGAATAAGGGGTATAAACCTTTAAGTGAGGGGCTCACAGGCCAGGAGATAAGAGAGACATCACTTCATAGGACAAGGAGGGGATGACTTCACCTTTCCTCTCAGAGTTCTTAGAGACCTCATCTTCACATATAAACCTGCACCTGGATGATGATGTCTGCCACCCCATGACGTTATTCTAGGTCATAAAAAGGGGAGCAGTGATGCTTCTCTCATTAGGGAAAAAGTGAAAGCTTAGAAAGTGATGATCTCTTCTTCAGTTAGGGGAAGGAAACAGGACTGAGAGAAGGGCTAGAGGTTCTCCTCAATCTCTAGGGTCTTTATTACTCTTAAATAAAAATAATCTGCATTTTTCAAATATTACTGCAATTCGCATGAACCACAAAAGACTCTAAATATCCAAAGCCCCCCTGACTAAAAAGGAAGGAAATGGAGGCATCACACTTCCAAATTTCAAACTGTACTATAAAGCCATAATAATCAAAGCAGCATACACTGGAATAAAAACAGGAACATTGACCAATAAAATAGAAATAAATAGAATAGAAATAGAAATAGAGAGCCAGAAATAAAATCACATTCAAATGGACAACTAAGCTATGACAAAAGAGTAAACTATATACACTGGAACAATGTAAGACTCTTTTATAAATGGTATTGGGAAAATTGGACCGTCACATACAAATGAATGAAACTAGGTAAATATCTCACATTACACATGAAAATCAACTTGAAATGGATGAAAGACTTGGATGTAAGAACCAAACCATAAAATACAAAAAGGAAAGATGAGCAAAACACTCCATGATATAAATGTCATAAAAGTCTTCACAGATTCATCTCCAGAAGCAAGGAAAAAAGATGAATATAAATAACTGGGATGGAATCAAAATAAAAAGCTTCTATACAGAGAAAGAAACAGTAACCAAAATGAAGAAATGCCTCACTGATTGGAAGAATAGGTATGTACACCTTCCATCAGACAAGGGACTGATATCAACAATCCATGAGGAACTCATACAACTCAACAAAAAGAAAACAAACAATCCTATCAAAAAATGTGCAGAAGAACTAAATAGCTACTTCTCTGAAGAAGACACACAGATGGCTAAAAGATATTTGAAAAAATGTTCATCATCATCATCATTTATCATCAGGGAAATGCAAATCGAAACCACAATGAGATATCACCTTACACCTGCAAGAATGACCAATATCAAAAAAATAAATAAATAAAAACAGAAACAAGTGCTGGTGAGGTGTGGAGAAAAAGGAACCATATTACACTGTTGGTAGGGATATAGTCTGATATAGCCACTATGGGAAGAAGTGTGGAGGTATCTCAAAAAACTAAACATCTATCTGCCATACAACCCAGCAATTCCACACCTAGGTATCTACCCAAAAACACCAATTCAAACTGAAACCTGCATTCCCAATTTCATAGCAGCACTATAATAACCAAGATATAGAAATAATCTATATGCCTCAGAACAGATGAGTGGATCAAGAATATGTGTTTATATATATATATATATATATATATACACATACATACATACATACACACACACACACACACACACACACACAATGGAATACTACTCAGCAATCAAAAAAGATAAACTCATGCCATTTGTGGCAGCATGTATGAAACTCTTAAGGGATTATGCTACATGAAATAAGCTAGAAAGAGGATAAATACCAAATGGTTTCACTTACATATGAAATACAGAGAAATTAAAAGGAGTCAGACAAAGAAACTATAAAACTGAGCCTGGAAAGCAGGCCATAGATTTGAAGCATCTGGGAGTGGGGGTGGGAGAGGGAAATGGAGAAGGGTTGAGGAGAAAATAGGACAGGGAAAAAGTACAATGGTCTATAGTGGAGGATTTTCAGTGTTTTGGTGGTAAAAGAGCTAAGGTGACCACACCTGAGGGGAGAAATCCTATGCTGTGAAAATATTTACAAAGTTAAAATAAGAATGCCTCACTAAAATAATAATAATAATAATCTGCATTCTTTAAATAATAGTAACAGGCCCCACAAGACCTCAGCTGCCCCTGGTTCTATTATAATTACCAAAGTGACACTCACTAGAAAAGACCTCTAGACATATTGAAAAAAGCCTATCTGACACTTTTGGGAAGACCCATCCCAGAGCATGATCCATTTTCCCATCAAACTTCACATAAAAATCACAGTTGCAAAGATAAAATTATTATGAATTTCAAGAGCAGAATCTTAAAGCAAGCAAGGGGTCTTCTGAGCACTGACCCACAAAATCAAACATGGTCTGAATATCAGAAATATTATACATCCTCTGAAATTCTATACATAAGCAAGGGTAAGAACAGTTGGGTTTCAAAGGCTCTAATATTCACAGATAGTCAAATAAACACAAGTTGGGAACATAGGTTTTCACTCTACCATTAGAAGGTTATTTTTCATTAAAACCATTCATGGCACATCGGTGTGTTGAGGCACATGGCACATCGGTGTGTACCGTCTCACTTTAAAAGTTTTACTGCAGTGAAAACTGGTTCCTCTTTAGAGGACATTTTGATAGTACTTATCAGACTTCTAACTGTTCATCAAAGCATTGTTTATGAAAAAGAATAAAGAGAAAACAACTTAAACATACAAAATAAGAAAATGATTTAATAAACTCTGGCACAACCATGTGATGAAGGATCAAACAACCAGTAAAAAAACATGAAGAGGTTAAGGAAAAATGTTTGAGAAATATAAAACTTTCGGGAGATCATTTTATAAGTACAAGTAAATCATCTATCTGTGTGTGTGTGTGTGTGTGTGTGTATTCTGGAAGGATGTCAAAGAGATAACGATTTTCACTCTGGGTAGTAGAATTTGTATAACTTTTTGCTTTAATTCTATTTAATTCAACTGTGTGACAGTTACTTTCTAGTAAAGAATGAGAAAAGAAAATCATGAATGGGAATTCAAAAAGAAAGTCATTAAATTTGGATTCTAAAATCATTATATATTCACTCACACCTTCATTTTCCACCGATTATGAAAACCATCACTGAGTTGCTTATCCTTTAGTTTCTCCATCTAAAAAATGGGAATGATGGTTTATATATCTTCCTTCTCAGATGTAAATGAAATTATTATGCATTGTCCAAGCATTTTACATGTCCAGATTAAACATAAGTTCAGGTTATTATTTTTACAAATGCTTAGTATGCATCTAACTCTAAAAGAGTACAGTTATGTGCAAGATCACATAAAGCATTTTTTCCTGATTTTGTTCTCTGAGAAAATCAAAGTCATGCCTCTCAAGGAAAGGAGTCCATCAAAGACCTTATGATTTACATCGGAGGAAGGAAGGACGTGATATTTTATGATATTTAACATGAACAGTCTCACTCTAGTCCTTGCTATTGTTCCCAAAGATGTCCTTATTCCTTCAGAAAAAGATAAATGGTTGCAATTGTCCCTATTAGGATGGAGAATAATCAAAAGGAAAGCACTTCCTCACTAATTCCCGTCTCCATAGAAACCTCTCAGCTCCCCAAGCTGCTTGTCCACAGACATCAGTCCACAGTTTGCTGATATTAGGCAGTCTGAGCCAAAGTCTGCGTTCTCTCACATTGTGATACCTTGAAGAGTAAGCTGAAAGAACAAAAAGACTTGTGCCAAATTTTAAAAGATCCCACTGCATCAAATCTAAATCCTTCCTGTATTTTTTTTAAGTTTCTGAGAAA